TAGTATTTATTTATTTTTTTTATCAAGCTTAGTTAGTATTCTAACCACTTTAGTTAAACAAATTTTTAATTGAATTAACCAAATAAAAAAATTAATTTAGAATATTGGGTAATTTGAAATTAATTGAAATATACCCATCCTTAGTGATGAAAAAAGATGGGGAGAGAAAGAGAGAGAATTTTAATTGCAGTTTTTTTAAATTCAATAATTATATAATTAATACTAATGAAAAATTAATATTTTAACTATTACACAAAAAAAAGAGTATTATGAACATCTCATATAAAATTTTGATTTAATTAATTCTAACACTTATTCCAAACTTAAAATTAGGCTTTCATCAAATAAGAATAGAAAGTTTAATGAACTCACAATTAAGTAATTTTCTCAAGAACGAAAAACTTTAATTATTGTGATATATGGAAGGGTAATCCAACCCATTAAATCAACTCAGTACAGCATTATTGAAGACATATTGTAGTATATCTGTAAGTAACATACTCAATATCAATATTCTCAGTTGTATATAATTAATTTTTAATTTTTGTTGTGCGGCTATTGATCCAATTAATGTATTGAAGGCTTAAAGGTAGAGTTACCAACAATAACCACCACTCCGACCAGAGACACACAACTTGATGTTACTGACCAAACTCCCAACAGTGATATACAACTTGATGTTGCTGACCAAGGCTACGATGAAAGGAACTTTAGGAAACCAGGTATGTGCCGTATATTAATTTCTCAAGTTATGATACAAATATCAGTTCTTGTCTGAGAACAGAAAATTGAGCTTACATAAGTGCATTTCAGATTTACTTTATATGTAATTTTAACAGGGCGTTAATTAACATTGTTGTAGTATTAAACGGACTTTGTGGATTGGGTTTAAAGGTGCAAGAGTTTTTCGGTAATTTTCCCTCAACTTCTGATTTATTTATTTATTTTATAATTTTTGCATTTCTACTGGTAAATCTTCAATTCTACTAATTTTTATATATGTTGATTGATTCTTGACTTGATAATTAATTTGTAGGAATCAAGCAAATTTATGATTTGAAGTTAAGGCATCTCTATGCATGTGAGGTTCTTCACTCCATGTGTAATCATGTTTCAGCTTTCGAAGTGAATCATCAGCGTGATGATTATGGAGTTGGTGCTCTACTCTTTGAAGCTACCAAGCATGGAATTGTTGAATTTGTAATTGAGCTCGGTAAAGCCAACCCATCATTTGGTTTTAAAACTAATAATGATGGTAGACTCGCTTTCATGGTTGCAGTCCAACATCGTCAAGAAAAAGTTTTTAACCTCATTTATGGTGCTAATGAGGCATGGAAGGCTGAAAATCTTAATAAATCAGATATAGATGGGAACAATATTTTACATGTGGCAGCGGGGTTGACTCCTGATTTTAAATGCGCTGGAATCTCTAGTCCAGCATTACAGATGCAGAGAGAACTCCAATGGTTTAAGGTGATAATCTCTCCCTTACTACTTAACAACAGCATTGATAAATTGTTTAACACTGTAATAATTTTAAAAATTTTCCTTTTGTATATAAGTGAAGCGAGGTTTCACCACAACTTCAAAAGTTTATATCATATACGATGTACTTTAAAAAAAAAAAAATTGTTTAAGAACCGAAACTCAAATCTCATAAAAAATATTAACATCTAGTTTTGTGAAATGGATGGTAGGAGGTGGAAAGAATTGTTCCAGAATGGTGCAAAGAAGCTAAAAATAAAAATGGTGAAACCCCCAAGGATGCGTTTACCGAGGGCCACAAGGCATTAGTGAAAGAGGGGGCAAAATGGATGACAGAGACAGCAAGTTCTTTCATTATTCTCAGTATTCTCCTTGTGACCATCATGTTCGCAGTATCTTTTACTGTTCCAGGCGGAAACAATCAAAATAACGGGTTACCCATACTCCTAGGCAAAAAATTATTTAAGATATTTATAATTACTGATGCAATATCATTCTTTGCTGCATCTACTTCAGGCTTAATGTTTTTGGGAATCCTAACGTCTCGCAAAGCTGAAGAAGATTTTCTTCTGTCCCTACCCCGGAAGTTGATGATCGGCCTTATCACTCTTTTTATTTCTATTGCAACAATGATGACTTGCTTTTACACTGCTCTTTTGATTATGCTACAAGTTCAACTGTGGGCGTTAATTCTCATAATTGTGGCGGCTATTATACCAATTGTGGTTTTTGGATGGTTGCAGTTTCCCCTCATTTGTGAAATTATTGTCTCAACATGTTCTTCAGGAATGTTTCACAGGAAAATGAAACCGTGGCTTGTCAATTTACAAGAAACTTGATCAATCTTTTGTTATGCGGATCAAACAGTTTCATGTTTTCCCTTCACGTGCACGTTGAAATACTATAGTTTGTTTGGGTTAGTTGTGTTGGAATTCTCAATTTCTGTGTTTTATTTGGTTGTGTTTTGACATTTCATCTTCTTTATCAGACTATGAAATGAATATATGTACCTTTCTTCGTCTTGAACCAGTGGCTTTATTTCTTGATTTTTCACTGGTGTTGAATTTGTTTGCTCTGGCTGACTTCATATATGTTTTTAGTCACATTAATTAGCTGTAATGCCATATCGATGTTTGTAACTCGATTACTAAATAAAGTTTGGTATGAGTATCAATTTTATTTTTTGGAACAACAAAAAGATCAATTTTATTATTACCCTTTTGATCCATCCAACAATAGTATATAGGTCGGGTTTGATTTTTAAAATTTTTTAAACCAAAAGTTTAGATAATAATTAATTTAATACAATGTATAAATGATAATTAGAACTTTTTTATCAAGTAAAACCACTAAATTAATATGTTTGTGTTGAGAGAAGTAGAGGTAAGGGAAGAGGGGGGGAAAAAGTTCCCTGTTTTATTTTTCCTTTTAATTTACTTACTTTTTTAAGGATTTATCTAAGGGTATAGGATAATTTTCCTCCCATCTCATCCGCTCAATCCAAATATATTATAGAGTAAATAGATCAAACCACTAATTTAGTTTCTCAACTACAAAAAGGACCTCATTTGGTCCCTAAACTTAAAAAATTCTTATTTTGGTCCATAATTTTATGTTTTCGGCTCTATTTTAGTCATACCGTTTAGTTTTTCACTGAAAAGATACTTCAATTGACGGCAGAAACAAACTTTTTCTTTTAAATAATT